AAATGGGAAAGATTAACTGCAACAATAAAACAAAAAAAAAAGATAAATTATTATAAGTTATAGACCAATACCTAACTTAAACTTTTATATTTTTATCTGTTAATTTTATAAATCATAAGAGTATAGTTTTATATGAGTTTTATATTACAATGTCTGACTGAATGATAAATGACATAAATAATATAATACTTGATAATTCCTGACAAATAATATCTAATTAGTGACAAAATGCAACAATACATGATATAAATCATCTAATGTCTGACTAAGCATAGTAAATCCTGACTAATAAAATCTTATTCATGATGTTAATAATCAAATTTATGATTAAATATTGTAATGTTAATCCAACAGTGTAAAATCTAAGATTGTCTAATTACTACATTAAATATCTTTATACATGAAAAAATTAGATTAATGCCTGATTATAAAAGCTAGTATTTGAATTTAAAAATATATTACCTGAGTAAAAACAACAAAATAAATTTAATAACTTACCAACTCTGCTTCTGCTATGTTTAAATTTGGAAAACGATCAACCCATTTTTGAATGGAAGCATAAACATCATTAGCATCATGTTTTTTCAATTCCATATTGATCTCAAATTTTTTCAACTTCTCCTTAAAAGTTGCATAATCTTCTGGATTATTTTCCAAAGAATTCAAAATTTTTTCCCGTTCTTTTATCTTCTTGACATCTTTTTTGTAATTTTCTCTCTTTATTAAATATCTTTGTACAGAGAACTACAAAACAAAAAAATTGAAACATATATTATGTTATATACATATAAATTATAAAAATTATAAGTAAAGATAAAAAAAAACTTACAGCAACTCCGGTAAAAAAAAACAAATCTTTTGTACTGAAATATTCCTCTGTCAGCTATTTTGCTCTCTTCAAGATTCAAAGCAGAAGCCCAAGTATCATGAATAGCACTATAAATCCAGACAGAGGGGCGCACCGAACAAAACTCCTCTTTCACCAAAATTATATCGCTTTGGGAAAGATCTTCAGTCTTAAACTGACAAATAACATCACCTATATCTTGCACATACAGACTATTGTTACGCGCCTTAACTCCCTCATCTTCTTTTGTAGGATCTAACTCATACAACTCATCGTAATTTCTAAAAAAGAGGAAGTCACACATATATCTTTCATGCTCAGTTAAATTTTTCAGATACAAAGGCTTATTTTCCTGCAAACTCCAAGAGACAATCATTTCTCGATTTTGAATCGGAATCTTATCAATAGGGGGATCTACCCAATCTGAATCCAAACTAGATGCTTCCAAATTAGCCTGCAATTTTGACAGGGTAAAGTCGTATCCCCTAATCAAAAGTAATTCCTAAATCCTCTAACTAATGTAGATAGGGAAGTAGGGTCGAATCCACAGAGAAACGAGTCTTTCTATTCCTAATTAATTAATATAATCTAGATTATGAAGTAACCAATATTTATATTTGAATAATAAACTAAACTACGGAGATCAAGAATAAGGAGAAAATAATATATAAAAGGATCTAGGGCATAGGTTCATCAATAAATAATATTCCAGGGTTGAATATAATAATCATTCATCAATGCATAATTAAGCAGATTATAAAGGGCTTTCGCTACGTATTATAATCACACAATTAATTTACCGGTATTAAATCTCATCTTTCGAATCTCGACCTAACCATTTATAAATTAACCTGCCTATTGAAACTAGACCTAAACATTAATTCTCATCTGTTGAATCTCGAATCAATATTGTCAAACTCATGCATAAAAGATCTGCGCAAATCTAGTCACAGAGCATTAAATCAATCAATAGGAAATCAATCTAGTATCGATAATTAACGACAATAAATTACCCCTTCATATTATTTATGGATCCCCCCACAAACCCTAGAAATACTATTCACACATAATAAAAACTAAACTAATCAAAGCAATTAAATAAAGAATAATTAAAAGCAATAAGAAATTTAATTAAATAAAGAGAAAAAGCTAAACAAGTTAAGAACAAAATCTAGAAGCTAAAACTACAACTAAAACTACCTAATCTACCTCCCCCCCAAACTTAAGTACTACCTCCTTATAAATAAGAAAAGTCAAAGCCTCCTAATCCCACTCAAACTATAAGTATTATCCAAACAATCATAAGCTGACAAAACCTATCTTAAAAGCTAATACAAGAAGATAATTTTTGCTCCTATTATCTCATCATTCTGCCAACATTTGTAGAATTGTAGACCGACTTAAACAATCAAGACAAACCCATAAGAAACTGGACCGCTTAGACATCACGCCTCTACACTGATGTGCTTCGTCCGGTTGGGCCCTTTGTCTTCGGGTCTTTAATATTGTCTTTTATGCAATTGATCTTTAGCTTGTAAATTAATCCTTCACCAAACTGAGCGCTTAATCACCAAATTAAATTTTCCTAACTCGGCCTTAGGCTTAAAATACTCTTCATTACGTACGATCATCTCTAATATTTTCATAGTGGCTCAATAATCTCGGGAATTAACATAAATATGCAAATTCCTACAAAATAATACCAACTCTACAAAAACACTAGAAAACGTATATTAGTAGTAAAAATAGCTCCGTAGAGCTCAAATAAGCGCAAATATGACCATGGGACGGAAAATAAAAATATATATAAAATAGACTTATCAAATTCCAACAGCTGTTTATCTCTTAGATATTGCGATCTCTCAGCCTTTTTTTCCAGCATATGCATCAGCAGCAATAAATTTAATTTTAGGAGGGACATTTTTATCAGTAAAAACTTTGTCCACATCAATTAACTGAATGTGAGTTTTAGGAGGCTGAGGTCCTATTTCCATAAACTCATCTTGAGATAATTCAACAGCAGTAGGAGTAGGAGTTTTATCTATTACAATAAGGGTAGGAAGAGGAGCACTAGGAGATTTTACAACTTCAGCTGGAACAGATTCATTAGCAACCGTTTCCGTTTCAACATATTTATTTCTCAATACATCTAAAACTTCAGTTGTATCTCTAGGCTGAGCTTCCTACAGAAAAAATAATATGTATTAAAATCAAAAACAAATAACTTAAATACAAACAATAATAACCTATATTAATTATTGAAATAAAATTTCTAATTCCTGATAGGAATATTCTTATTACTGAAAAAATTAATCTAATAGCTGATTGAATAAATCTTTTTCCTGATTAAGAATGTATTATTTTGAAAAAAAGAAGTAAATTTCTAATCAAAAAATTATTATTCCTGACTAAAATATTCTTACTACAGATAGAGGTAATCTAATAACTGACAATGACAACTTTATTCCTGATGAACAACTAGAGTTAAAATTTACATCTGAACAAAATTTTATCATTTCTTGCACAAATCATCTAATAACTGAGTAAAATATAATTATTCTTGATACAGTAAATCTAATTAAAAACCCAACAACTATATTTTACATTCCTGACAAAAATATTTCAATTACTGACAAAACTTATATAATATCTGACAAAATAAATCTAATTCCTGACCAGTATAATTTAATTCGTGAAAAAAATAACAAAAAAAAATTACCTGATTCACAACATCAATAGGTGATTGATGTTCTTCTGTAACTTTACTCTGGCCAAAATCATCAGATTTAGTAAAAACCTGAAAACATATGTATAACAGAAATAAAAAATAAATAAATTTATTTATATAAAATATTCAATTTTAATACAATAATTACTAGTATTTTAATAAATGATTTAAATAAAATACAAATATTAGACCTTAGATGTGTTGTCATCATCTTTGTCATCTTTTGTTTCTTCTTCAACAGTTACCGGAATTTCTTGTTCGGTAACTTCTGCAATTTGCTCCTTTGATGGTTGAGGAGAAAGAGGAGTAGGGGTAATTAAATTAAATTTTGGCATAGACTGATCTCCCATTGAAAAACTCCTATCTTCTTGCACAATCCTAGCCTGATTATCATTCAAACCAGCAGAATAAACTTCATTGAGTCCCCTAGCTTTCCTTGGTGTCCTAGGAGGTGATGTTGAAGAACCAAGAACACCCTCCTTACCAACTGAACTAACCACATTTTCACCTGGTGCTGTGACAGGTTTAGAATTTACAGCAGTAGTTTCAACATCTGAAACAGGAACTTTAGTTACTTTGTCAACAGCAGTAACTTCTGCACCAAGTGAAACATCAGCAACAGGTCCTTGGTGAACAGGAGCAGCTTCATCTTCATTTTTCTCTGGTATCTGTTCAGGGATACCAGTTTCAGGTACATCAAATTCTTCTTCTTCTTCTTCAGATTCTTTTTCTTCATTTCTATCTTCTAATTTATCACTTGTAGGTATATCTTGACTAAAGACTTTTGACAAATCAAGATCAGCAATAACATTATTCACCTGTATAAAATAAACATTAATATAAAAAAAAATTAAGTTAAATTTCATATAAAAATTAAAGATAAAGGTAATAAAACTTACAATTTCATCAGACTTAAGTTTAAGATCAAAATTATCCAATTTAGTGGCTAACTCTTTGTTCTTCATAGCAGCTAACACTATTTCATCAATTTTAGCTAAGAACTGTGGATTGGAATATATATCATCATCTCATTGAGATTGAGATTCTTGTGAAGCTTTTATTGCCTCATCCTTCAAGTTAGTAGCAAAGTGAATTTGGTTCTCTGATACAATCACTAGGTGAAAAAAGTGCTTTGGCAGCGGTTCAAACCCGGTCTAAGGCACCGGTTTGAACCGCTGCCTATGTGGGGGGTGCCAAATACCCCCTTTTTAGCACCGGTTCAAAACCGGTGCCATATATCCAATTAGGCACCGGTTAACCGGTGCCAAAAATGAACCAAAATATTTATTTCGTTGGTTTTGGCACCGGTTAACCGGTGCCAAAACTGCCCAAAATTATTCTTTTATTTTTTTTCTTCCTTTTTTCACCTAAAAATTAAATCAACTAAAATAAATAAGAACATCAAAATATAAATTAGAACAAGCGCAAAAGACAATGAAATATATCAATATATTAAACTGTTATTGTACAATACAAAAAAAAAATACAATGAATTATAATCATACAATAAAATTCAACGTCAAATTGATATTGAAAAATACAAATAAAAATTACAACATCAAAAACAAAATTTCAAAATCAAAGTCTTGAATCCTTGTGTATCAATTAACACCTGCATCAATTAAAACCCAGAAATCAATAAAACTCACAAAAAAAATGCAAAAAAAAAAACCCAGAAAACTCATGCATCATGTACGAACTCAAAAATCAAAATAATTTAATAAATAAATAACCAAAAAAACCCAAAAAAATCGAAACACAATTAACCACAAATTTTTTGAATGTGTTTTAGATCCCAAAATTTTCGAAGATCAATTAACCCCAAAATTTCGAAAAGCAATTAAACCCCAAGATTTTCGAAGATCAATTAACCCCAAAAATTTCTGCAGGTGTTGTTTGAGCAGCTGTTAACCGGAGGGATCGAGTTCTTGAAGCTGATTGGTGGAGTTGATCTGCCCAAAATAATCAAGAAATGGAAGAAAGATCTTACTTTGTTGGAAGCTCTGTTGGAGGATGCTGAACTGCAGCAGTTTCACAGCAAACCTGTCAGGTTGTGGCTTAATGACCTCCAAGATTTAGCTTACGACATGGAGGATATCTTGGATCATTTCGCAATCGAAGCCCAACGTTACCAGTTGAAAAAGGCGGAGGAAGATCAAGTTCATGCACTAGATGATCACTCTCACCATGGGATTCTAGACAATATGGTTTGTGCTGCTACCTTTTTTATTTACTTTTCTCCCTAACTGCCATAATGTTAGTTAGATACTACTTCTTTTTTTTTTTTTTTTTTTTTTTATATATACATTGTTTACTTGCAAGTTGCAAGTGATGAAACAAGTTCAACTTTGAGACTAATTAAGATGATATCTTATAACATTTACTTAACCCTGTTGTTCAATATAAGCTTATTGCTGTACAGAAAATTATTAAAAAAAAATAATCTTGAAGTTTATGTTGTTTTAATTTATATGAGGGGAAAAACAAAGTTTGAATAGTAAGTTTCAATAATAACTCTTGAATTCAATTATCAGGTGCAAACCATTTATTCAAGTGGCTCAAGAGCCGCGGGTAGTCTCTCCACCTTGTTCAACCCTGTTGATCAAGACATTCGGAAGAAGATTGATGAAATTACAGAGCGCTTGCAAGATATAAAGGACCAGACCCAGAGTTTGAGCCTCACTGCAGCACACATGTTGCAGCAGCAGACCCTCCAAACAGAAACTATTCGACGCCAGAGAGAATCCACTTCTTTGGTTGGCAAGGTTTTTGGAAGGGATGACAAGAAAAAAGAGATAATTGCAATGCTACTGAAAGATGATCAGAGTGCTGAGAATTATGATGTGTTTTCAATAGTTGGAACGGGTGGCATTGGGAAGACGACCCTTGCTCAAGATGTATACAACGATGAGCAACTGAATGGTTACTTTGATCTCAAGGCATGGGTGTGCATCTCAGATGTGTTTGATGTCAAACGTGTCACCGTAGATATTATTAACTCGGCAACCCAGAGCAATTTCGACTGTAGCAACTTGGATCAGGCACAAGTGAAGTTGCAGGCAGTGCTAAATGGCAAAAAATTCTTTATTGTTCTTGATGATATTTGGAGCGACAAATATGATGATTGGTACAAACTGCAGGAGCCTTTCCAACACGGTGCAGAAGGAAGTAGAGTGATAATGACAACCAGAATTGAAAGTATTGCAATGATGATGGTTAACAATCCTACTCAACACAATATCATCAAGTTAGAAAGTTTGTCAAAAGATGATTGTTGGCTTATATTTCAGCAGCATGCAAAAGTAGATTCTGACCTCACCGACTTGCGGGATGTTATCATAGAAAAGATTGATGGATTGCCTTTGGCCGCAAAAGCTCTAGGAGGTGTCCTTAAAAGTAGTCCAGACAAGAGCCAACGTAGAAAGATATTAGAGAGCAACGTTTGGGGTGAGAAGAGCAGTGTTTTACCGGTTCTCAGGTTGAGTTACCATCATATGCCATATCATTTGAAGCGTGTCTTTGCTTATTGTTCTGTGTTTCCAAAAGATTACAAGTTCAAAGAGATGGAAGTTGTCTTACTATGGATGGCTCAGGGCTTCCTGCCAGAAACCCAAACTGAAAGTATGGAAGATATGGGTCGCAAATACCTTAATGACTTGGTATCAAGGTCATTATTTGAAAAAAGACTGTATTGGGAAGGTGAGTTCATCATGCATGACCTCATCCATGATATGGCTCAATTGGCTGCGGGTGTAGTTTGTTATGTGGCTGATGCTGATACACTGAGATATGTTAAGCCAATTCGCCATTTATATATCACTAAAAATGTTCAAACACTGGGAAATGATGAAATCATGGTTCCTCAATTGCGAACTTTCTTATGCAAAGAAAGTTTGCAATTTGAATATTTAGATCTCTTTAAAAAATTTCATTACATACGCACTCTGATTTTATTTTCGTATGGAATTGAAGCTTTGCCAGAATCTATTGGTGATTTAAAACACTTGTGCTACCTCGGTCTCGAACTCAAAATAATAAAAGTATTGCCACAATCAATTAGGGATCTCCAAACATTGTGCTTGAAAGGCTGTGACAAACTTGAGAAGATTCCGTACATTGGATTGCTTTTGCTAGACTTCGTCACCTATACATTGATGACACATCTTTAAAGGAGATGCCTCTTGGAATTGGGAAATTAACAAACTTGCAAAGTTTGAAAAGATTTATGTTGGCAAGTGGAGGTGGGATCAGAGTAAGGGATTTAAGGATGTTGAATCAACTCCGTGGAAGATTAATTGTTTCTGGACTAGAAAATGTGACACATGTTGAGGATGCACAGGAAGCCAAATTGCATAAAAAAGAGCGTTTTGATGGATTGTATATGAAATGGGGAACTTGTAGAGATGAGGTTGATGACAAGACTAAGAGAGATGTGATTGAGAAGTTGCGGCCTTACACTTCCATCAAAGAGTGTATGTTAGATGGGTACATGGGGTCGACATTCCCCAGTTGGTTGGGAGATCCCACTTTCAATAACATTGTTCACATACGGTTGGAGAAGTGTGAGAAATGTGAATTCTTGCCTCCACTGGGGAAGCTGCGCTCATTGGAGAGTCTTTGGATTGGAATAATGAGTAGTATTAAGCAAGTAGGCCTTGAATTTTATGGAAACTAGTCATCGCCTTTTCCCGCCTTGAAGACTCTACATTTTTATTGTTTGGAATCCTGGGAGAAGTGGGTGCACTCACCAATTGACAACAATGGGGCATTCCCCCTTCTCGAAGAGCTTTCCATTGAAAAATGTTTGTCATTGCAAGGTGATCTACCTCCTCTTTGCCCATATCTCAAAACACTAGATATTATAGATTGCAAGGAGATGAGAGTGTCACTTCCAAGCCTTCCTTTGATGCAAGACTTGAGGGTAGATGGATGTAAAGCAATGTCTACAACTGCAGATGTTATTTCCTGTGCAAAAAGGATAAGTTTTTACAATATATTAGAGATAACTGGCTTCAATTGGCGTTTTCAGTACCTTCATGAAGCTCTCTCCATTGTCAATTGCTCGTTTCTTCCCATTACAATTGGCCAGATACCGGTGACGCTTCAACGGCTTAAGATTTCTAATTGCAAGCAGCTACAATCCTTGGACTTTCAAGATTCATCTTCCTCAACTTCTCGTTTTCAAAAACTCTCGATTAATAGAAGTGAATCCATCGTCTCTATTGGTCGTATTCCCTTGACTCTACGATCATTGAAGATTGAAGATTGTGAGAAAGTAAGTTGTCTAGAATTTAATGAACAACCTCCAAATTTCTCTTGTGGAAATGACAACAAGAAAGCACTAAAAAGTGAAGAAAGCGAAGGAGTCTTCCTAAAGGCTTCATTAGAACTTCCTCTGCTCACCAAATTGAAATAGAAAGTTGCCCAAGTCTAAGATCATTACAACAAAACCTGCTCCTCCCAGCTTTACAAATTCTTCACGTATGGGATTGCGAGAATATGGAAAGGCTTCCTGCTCAATTGCTCAATTTCACCTCCCTTAAAGATTTATGGATTAAAAAATGTCCTAAAATTCATAGCTTACCAGAAGGTGGTTTACCCAAAAACTTGATGTGCCTTCTTATAGAAGAAGTGAACATAAAGCAGGAGGTAACAGAGTGGAAATTGCACCTCCTTCATTCACTTGAATTTCTTACACTTGAAAATGTAGGCAACTCCGTAGATTCTGTAGAGTGTATTCCGTGCCCACATTTTTCTCTACCCCCTTCCTTGTCTAGATTAAAAATCAAGGGTTTCCAAAATTTGAAAACAATATGTTGTTCCACTCTTCCCTGCCTGTCCTATTTGTATATTTGCTGTTGCCCCAAATTGGAATCCTTTGGTGACAATGGCCTTCCTCCACGCATTGATGATGTTTACATTAAAGAGTGTGATATGATACAACAACATTTGACGAGTGATCCCTATGGCCTTATAGAAACAGAATGGAAGATTCTCGCTGCCTCTGTCTGGAAATTAACTATGCTCTGCCCATTCAAGTAAGTTTGGTATGATGGTACGGTCTCACCTACATTTTTCATTTTTACATCAACTTATATTTTAATATATCTCACTTCTGACAGCTTGTTGATACAACAATCTTATTGTCTTTATGTTTGCCTACTTTTATTTTTGCACTCTCAAACACTACAACAATGCTGCTTGTGTTTACTTTTCCTCAAATAATAGTGGCTGGAGGGAGAACTTGATCAACCAACTAGCTGTACATTTTTGCATATCATTCAAGACATACTGAAGTTCCTGAGCACATAAATGTGAAGAGAAGGCCAAACTTTTGCAAATTATTAAAGAAAGTTTTTTAAACTGATATTTAATGTACAAAAGCATTCTTAAGATCTGCAATTTTGATGCTTGTTAGCAAAGGTCATGAACTATGTAAGGTTAGAGTTCTGATTAACAGTTTCAATTAATCAGTTTATCTTGAAATTGTTTCTAACATGATTATGTTGAGATTAAAGCTTTTAATTAGTTGTTCCCTAAAGTTGGTAGAACCAAATTAGCCGAGAGTTATTGCCTTAGTGAGTTAGTGGCTTAATGTTTACTTGTTGAATAATATAATTAATTTATGTTAAGTGAATAAATAGTGGAGAGTAGCGTAATATGATCTCCACTTTCTCTGTTAATTTGCTAAATTTTATGAAGTATATAATTTAAGTACAATTGAAGAGTTAAAAAAAGTTGAGATGCATTATTATGATGTTCGAGCATTTAAAAGATAATATGGCACTTATTAACTAAAAATTTGTATGAACTTTAGAATCATCGCATTGCACTTATTAACTTTAAAAATTTGTATGAACTTTAGAATCATCACTTATTAAGTAAAAGGTTGCATACAAAAGGACAACTATAAGTATTCTTCATTTTTCTGTGTTCTAACTTTGATTACTTGTTTCAATTGCAGTGTCCATGAGAAACTGAGAGCGATATATCAGACCCTCAACAGTGTCATTTGCACTAATTTCAGTTAATGTGTTGGCGGCTATAATTGTAGAGTAAATTCTACTGTATTTCATGCTAATGTAATATGTACCAGAGAGATTGCTCTGTTTAGTTTTGCACCTAATGGCTATTACAAAGTTTAATGGCAAACAAAGTCATGGGGGAAATACACTGAGCTTTTGACTATTTGAAAGTATGTTTGCTTTGTGCTTAGTGGTATTTGCTCAACTATTTTCTGAATGTTTGTTGATTTCTTAGCAAATAAATGTATTGAGAGAATAAAAAATTGGAGAAATTGGAGAAAGTAATTAAATATGGAGGTATGGGGGTAGATGGAAGAATAAAAAATTGTAAAAAGCAAAAATAATTGAGAGAATTGGAAGAGAGAGAATACGAAATTAATAAAATAGGATTTATATTGGGTTTACTAGTTGAGATAAATAAATTAAATATTGTAAAAAAATTTCAAATAAGGAAAATGGAAGTAACAGATAGAAACTAAGTAGCAACCTTAAAAAAAATACTATGAGAGAGAAAGCTAGTGAGAGAGAGTCCACAACCCCTCCCGAAAAACCACCTGAACCACCTCCCATAACAAAAACTCCACCGATACAACCCCCAAAATTACCAGGCAACCACCAGAAAAAACAAACAATTACCACTTCCTCTCCTCCCCTCTCATTTCGACAAATACTCACTCAGCCCCCCTCAAACTCCTTCAACATAAATTCACCAATTTTCCCTGCATCAGCTCCACCACCTCAATATGACGAGGAAAACGAATGTTTCGTTCCTATCTCAGAGGAGGAATACTCCTCCTTCTGCTCACCGTGGACAAACACCATAATTTCTAAAGCTCATGGAAAATCCTTCTCCACAGAATACTATCTTGAAGGAATACAAAGGATTTGGAAACCTCAGGGAAGAATCACGTCCTTTCCATTAGGGAAAGGATTCTTCATCTCCAAGTTTGATGCACCCAACGATGCAGACAAAGTCCTGAAACAGGGACCATGGTTTCTAAATGGAACGTTCATATCTACGCAGCCTTGGAAGCCGGGGTTCAAACCATCAGAAATCAAGAGCTCTGTTCTACCTATCTGGGTTGAATTGCCAGAGTTGCCGATAGAACTCATGAATGATACGGTCTTGCAAAAGATTGGTAGTTCAATTGGCACATTCGTCAAGTCATCCTTATCCAAGATGGAGCAAGGGAACCTCCGATTCGTGAGAATAATGGTGCTCTTGGAAGAGAACAACCCAAAGAGATCATCGATCTGGATAGGAGTAATTAAGCAATCAATTGTATACCGGGATATCCTTCCTAAGGAGCATCAAATGACTGCTAAAAAGCCAAAGCCGGGGATGGCGTCATCGGGAAAAAACACCAGCGATACAGAATCTGCAAATCAGGGGAAACCTGAGTGGAGAATAGTGAAGCACAAAAGGGAGTATCCGTTGGTTCGAACTCCCGCCACATTGCGGATATTCATAAAGTGGGCCCTGACCAAAACCCACTAGGAAAAAATCCATTTGAGATCCTTTCTGATGACCCAACTGTTGAAACGTTGACGTGTCAACCCCAAATAAAAAGCCCTTCTTCTCTCTCCTTAACACCCATACCCAAACTGTCTCTTCAACTGCACTGCAACACTACTCCTTCTCTTCTTCTAGCTGATTTACGCCGCCTATCTCCCTCTTGTCTTCTCAATAGCCCCTACTCTTTCTCCTTCCCCATGAACCTTCTGACCATGCCGATTCCCAACAACTAACCATTTCAAACTATCTCTTTAAACCTTCCTCCTCAAACCCAATTGTCACTCATACCTCACCCCTCTCTGTTTTCTAGAAATTCAAAAAAAAAAAAACCATGACAAACCTCTCCCTCCAATATTATCTAAACAAAATCATCAACTTCGACCTAGACGAGCTTCAAGACCAGGGGGATTCCTCAGACCTCCGATCTCCCCCCCCCCCCGGTGACAATTCACCTCAGGCTATGCAGCGACAGAAACATATTAACCAAAACAAAACCAATTGTGACTTACCCGGAATCAATGGTTAACCTGACATCTTTTTATGTGCAAGGATTACAGGGCGACTGGCATGCTATCAGCCCTCGATCAATGAGGGGAATTCTGCTCAGTCCGGAGGAGGTTTCGCCGCTGTATGCGAACCTCCGAATGGCCTCGGCAGACAACCCTTTCTACCTACTCCCTGCTCACATTCCATCACTCTCGGATGTCGAACAAATCAGCAAGCCACTCGCGGCGGTGCTGAGATGGTGGATCAAGCAAATGGACAAGGAGTAGTCCTTGATGACAGTACCTTGGGAATTACAATTCCTCCTCGACCCGGTCCCCGTTCTTCCGGCCGTAAGAAAAGCCTTGTCGATTTCCGACGAATGGCTGGTGCTTCAATCACTGTCAGGAACAAACAATGTCAAGCTGATGCACCTTGTCCAAGAAGCCCAGCAGCTACAACTCTCAGTAGGTTGGGGAAAAAAGAAAGGGGAAAACACAGAGATGTCGGGCATCCGAATCCAGAAAAACACGGTGTTAGTGTACAACAACTACCAGGGGAAATATGTCGAGTTGAACAACAATGCGGCATATCCCTCGAGGAAAGAAATGTCAAAACTTCCAATCATGAACCCGGGGATGAATGTGCTGGAATGCTAGAGGAATAGCTAGGGATGGCTTCAAACGAAACATTCGTTGGCTGATCAAGGATCATGAACCTGATATAATCATTCTCACTGAAACTAAGGTGCCTAAGTTGGGCTGTGAAGAGCTCCTATCTCTCCTTCCTTACAATTCCTTCGAGGTGGTTGACCCAGTTGGCTACTCGGGGGGAATACTCATTCTGTGGAATTATGGCTTTCACTCCATCACTATGGTTAGCAAGGAACCGCGCGCTATTCACACTGTAGTGCAGGTAAATCAATCACAAAAAAATTTTCTTACAGCACTTTATGCTTCTACTTCCTTCAATGGTAAATTAAAATTGTGGAATTCTCTTCTAAGTTATCAGTAGAAATATTGATATACCATGGCTAGTTTGTGGGGATTTCAATGAGATTTGCTATGATCATGAGAAATGGGGAGGGAATGCTCATCCCCTCCACCATATGAGAGCGTTTAATGAGACCATATCAAATTGCAACCTCATTGATCTAGGGTATATAGGACACAAATACACTTGGTTTAACAAACAGAAAAGGAACCAATCCTAGAAAGGCTTGATAGATTCCTAGCAACCAGTGAGTGGATCCAGATGTTTCCCCTAAATTGTGTCAAAAACCTCCCAAGAATGACCTCCGACCACAACCCTTGGCTTCTCCAAACTGAGAAAAAACAAGTCTTTCCTGGTATCAAACCATTCAGGTTTGAACCCATGTGGCTTAGTGAGAGT